ATTTTTATGTAAATTAGTATATATACATATCTTTTTTGTGTTTCCATATCTTTTTTTTATAATAATATAAAAGATTTACAAATTTACATCCTCAACAAACTTATACGCAACATTCCCCGCCAAAAATTTCCCGCCAATTTTTTTTAGAATTTTAGGCTGTGTTCGTAAATTCACTGCCAGTACTGAAAGCTATAAAATATGTAACGTAGATTATATGTTTTTAGTACTAATTTACGAACACAGCCTTAATGCTATTGCTTCAGAAATATTATTTATCATCTTTTTTCCTGAACATTCAATAATATCAATAAAGTAACTGTCGCTTGCAACGACATGTATATATGGTAGAGATGATATACAGAGACTGCGTTCCGATATTGGTTGGGTTCCATAAAGCGCATATGTGCGCATTTTGTTATAATATACGTGACATGAACTATAGATAAATGCGCGCATATGCGCTTTACGAAACCAGTGATTCACTGCAAGTATTGAAAATCTATAATATATGTGACCTGAACTATATATTTTCAACTAGAATATCGTTCATCCATTTGTATTGATCGGTGTCGTTAACGACAGTCAATGGTGATCTTGAAAAAAAACACGGCTATCATTGGCTATCGTTAATTAACGACATCGACAGTTATCGGTGGACATGTACATCCCGGCCCAGAAAATTTTATATTTAATTGGCCAATCAATGTTGTGTATTATCGGATCCTTCTCATTTTATCCTTATTGTTCATCGAGTATTAAATAAGGATAAAATAATATCTGGGAGTAGATTGTGTATCTTGAAACAAGATGGAAATTACAAAAATGAGGAAATTTAAAGTATCTACGACTTTATATGTTTAAAGTTAATATAAATTTCCTCATTCTTTTTGTAATTTTCATCTTATTTCAAAATACACAATTTCTTTACTTTAATAATTTTCACCTCGTTTTAAAATACACAATCAATTCCTTGACTGTACTTAAGCCAGCAGCACACATCATTGATTGGTATATTCTTTTAGATCTAAAAAAATATACCAATCGAAGACAAGAGCTCAGCAAACACGCGAATCCAGCTAGCAAACCAGCAGAAAAAAATGCCATTGTGCCACTGACTTTAGATATTATTTCTGAACGCACTTGCACCCTGCACAGATTGTCAATCTTCAACGATTTTGTTCGTGACTATCAACGACATGGATCGCGTAAAACTGGCTCGTTCGGAGACTCCCGCTTGGCCAGGATGTTTGGCTATTCGTGAGAGTTGTTTGCCATCCGATATCCCGTACGTGCCCATTCTGATCGAGGATATACCTCGGTACACATCCTTGCCTGATTACAAGAAAAATTGTATAAAGAACATACAAACGATCGGCGAGATTTTACCCGGCGCAGCACGAGTTGTCTACTTGCGAAGCATTTTGTCGGATTACGAAGTGAAGGTTACTCTCAGTTTGGAGGGACTTCCTGTAGACGCTGTTTACTTCAAAGATAGCAAAGGAAGACATCTATTTATATGGGTAAAGCAATTTATTTACTTTAAATGAACAGATTTTTTTTTATTTTGAACATCTATGGCTGGTCTTAATGATATAAACTTTTATAAAGCAATAACTTGATAGCTTCTGTTTAAAGAATCATTCTGACAATATTATATTTTTATAGGAGAAGTCTTGTATTTTTAAAGTTTTTGGAACGTTGGAACTTAGAGAAAATGAAGTTGTACTAATTGCTCATAAGCTGCTGGAAGTTCAAGATGCACATTGTAGTTTAAATATATTGTCGTTGTTATCTGAAGCTGTTCGTCCCATGTATTACCAGTAAGATTTTATTTTCTTGCAAGAGTTATAATTTTAATGAAAAAATTTTTTGGTTTTTTTTATATAATCAATTATCTATAAAAATAGAAAATAATAATTAAAAATAATAATAACGAAATAATAATTGAGATTTAATACTTGATGCTTAAAGTACTTTAAAAATTCATAATATTAGATGATTAGAACATAATTCTTCTTGCAGATACAAAGAATTGAAATAGAATAAAACTTTCATCTTGTATTTTGACATTGAATGTTAAGAGTTAGCTTTATCACTTTAATAAGAGCATTATCTGGTCGAAACATGAGTATATTCACGCAATGCTTGAACCCTCTCACTGGGGTTGCCTCATGGGAGGAGAAAGATCAGTATTATGATTATCATCAAGAAGTAGCTAGATCTGCTTTTGCTGACATGCTGCATGACCATGAACGAGTTAGTATTTTTTATTCTTATTCTTATTTCTTTATTCTTATTTCTTTATTCTATGATATTAATTCTTTAATTTATGGAATTAAAAGTAAAAAAAAATGCTTTATTTGGCAGAATAAAAAATATTATATTGCTCTCAAAACTGCTATTGAGAAAAAACATCGCGCTGGTGAAGAAGCTAATGTTCTTGACATAGGCACTGGAACAGGTTTATTGTCAATGATGGCTGCCAAATGTGGAGCAGATACTATAACCGCATGTGAGGTAATGTGAAAGAGGCTTGAAATATTTTCCAGATTTCTGCTTATAGAGAAATATCTCATATAGGCATTTAAACCAATGGCCAATTGTGCCGCAGAAATAATAAGGGAAAATGGCTTTGAAGATAAAATTAAGTTGATTTGTAAGCGTTCTACGAAGATGACAATTGGTAAAGATGGCGATATGCCAAAACGTGCAAATATTCTAGTCACTGAAGTATTTGACACAGAGTTGATTGGTGAAGGAGCATTATCAACGTTCCGCCATGCTCATGAGGTTCTTCTTGAGGTATCGAACTTGTATATAATTCTATCAGTTCAAAGTATATTCATGTTTTGTTTTTATATTAGGAGAATAGCATAGTCGTGCCACATAAAGGAACAGTATGGGCGCAAGTAGTTGAAAGCTCGAAAGTCTGTGCTTGGAATCGAGTGAAGCCTATTAAGAATGGAGAAACATTGGTTGACGCTCCATCAACTATTCAAGCATGTTCTGGTGCTGCTGCTATACACGACATGCAACTCTCGCGACTCCCTCGCGATACTTTTGTGCCTTTATTGCCGGCGCAGCCTATTTTTAGGTAATAATTTTTTTTAAATCTTTTTCTTAATTTTTTGCTCCAAGAAAAAATGTCAAATGTCTGCATACCACACTCGTGCTCTATATATTGATATAGAAAATACAATATTTTAGATTTGACTGGTCTGGCAATAAACCCTTACTGAACAATGAAAAAGTGTCATTATGTACACAACCGATAACAAGTGGAACTGCGCATGCAATTTTTATGTGGTGGGATTTAAACATGGACACAGATGATCAGGTAATGAAACATGGGTATGAAACATAAAATGTATGTGCGCGCATGTATGTCTATGAAATTGTTCTATTCATTTTGGATTTTATATTTCATTTTCGTAGGTATTGCTGAGTTGTGCACCTGTATGGGAACATCCAGATGTACCTGATAAAATGAAGAAAGATTTCTCATGCTTACAAAAAATGGCAGATTCAATCCCTTGGAGGGATCACTGGATGCAAGCTGTTTATTATCTTCCAGAAGAAATACCTATCACACGAGGTGTTGAGGTCAATTTAATTGGTTATCATGATGAATATTCTTTCTGGTTCAAATTATTGAATGGACCTATGTAAGTTTTAATTTCTTCATAATATTTTAATCATATTTATAAGTAATTTATATAATTTATTTTTTTATTTTCTAAATCATTAATCATTTAATTGATCTTTAAAAAAAAAAAATTTGAAAATGTCTATTAAATAAAATGGAAAATCTTTCTTCTATAGAAATGAAATTCCTGATTGTCAGAGGCCTGAGTGCAATTGCTGGGCGCATATTGCGTATTCGCGGACACGTATTGGTCAATTAAACGATGCAGTTCGTAATCAGAGGTATCTACGGGCTTTGCGAAAGAAAATCACTCCAAATAGTGTTTGTCTCTGCATGTCAGATGGTTGTTTACTGGCCCTCGCGGTTGCAAGATTGGGCGCTAAAGTATTTTTATTGGAGCAAAATTTTCTATCGCGTAGAACCATGGAGATGTTTGTGCAGGCAAATGAGCTTTCCGATCGAGTAAAGATTATCGAATCGATCGATGGTTTACCGGAGGCAAGCGAGATCGATTTCATTTTTGGCGAACCGTATTTTCTGAGTTCCATCGTGCCTTGGGAGAATCTTCGATTTTGGTATCTTGCCTCCAGATATCCATCGAGTATCATGAGGATGCCGATTACGGCGACAATCAGGGCAGTCGCTGTCGAGTTCAAGGATCTGCAGAAGATAAGAGCTCCCCTTGGTATATGCGAGGGTTTTGATCTGTCTTCTTTTGACAGACTTGTTCAAGTGAGTTTATTAACTTATTCTCGTTTTGTACCATTCATAATAAAGGAAGCTGCATTGTCTATTTTCAGATGTCTAGTGAAAACAGCGACAATCCCGTAGAAGCGCAGCCGCTCTGGGAATATCCTTGCAAGGCATTAACCTCATGTTTTAATATCATTAAGCTAGATCTTACACGGAATGTTAATTTTGATGAACGTAAAAAAATAACGGGAGAGATTCCTATTTTACAGTAAGTATCTTTTGTCGAGTATCGAATAAATATCACAAGAAGAAAGAGTTTAAGGGAGCTAGAATTTGAGAAGAAAAATTTTAATTCTTCAAGTAATGATATCTTTTCTAGCAATGGTTCCTGCAATGGCGTTGCTATATGGGTGGATTGGCAATTGGATTCAGATATATCAGTGTCTTCTGGTCCAATTGAAGAAATAGTACCTGGTGAGCGAGTATCTTGGGATCCGTATACAAGACAAGGCGTGCATCTATTTCGTAGAATATTCAATGTTATGAAAAAAAATACACTTTCATGGTCGTTCTCTTTTGTTCCACAAAATGGTGAAGTAGAATTCGAATTCAGTATATCGACAAATGCTTAATTGCGTTAATAAATGTTTGTTTGATGCTGTTTATTTTGAAAATATGAAATTGTTTTTATTACATCGAGAAATACTTTAAACATTAAGCAGTCAAACTGTGAAATTGAAATTTTGTACTATATGAAGAGTGATATCAAGATCATTGATATCAAAATTGCACTCTGGATTACATATAACTATTACTATTGAAGTACGTTTTACGCTGAAGTTCACGAAAGTTATTTATTTTTTAAATATTAACAGAAAATTTATTTTTTATCTATCGAACTTTTGAATATATCCCAATGTTACGAAGTATTATCCGGCAATATTCGCAATTGTTTGGCAAGTCTTTTGCCAATTAATTTGGGATAAGCTTTTTGTTTGATAAGGAATTCCTTGCTCTGGTGTGTTACTGCGCCGTTTTCTAATTGAAATCTAGAAAGAGAAATAGCTTCATTAATAAACTTATGAGACACAATTGATATTGAATATAAATTGATTATTTGTCTTTATGATAATTACTGATTTTTTTATTGATTCTCACAATTTATAATTTTTTTCTAAAAATTCTAAAAAAATCGAAATTTATTTCATAAAAAGAATTTTATATCAATTATAGGATACAAGGAATTTATATACTTGCCTACATAGATAATGTAATGGACCTAACATTTTTTCTCTCAATTCGGGATCACCTTCCAGAATTGAGAGTGCACTTGCGCCTGTTTCCAGTGTCGAAAGGCAGCCTTCCGCTGGCTGTGTCCTAATTACATATTCACTAGTGGGCACACCAATAAGTTTGCAAGCTCGCAGAAAGTATAGAGCTGGACTCGAGTGATATATCGCCTGTAAAATAACAGTAAACATTAAAAAATCCGATAATTTACTATTTCCTTGTTTCTTTTTCTTGGTATTATTTGAAATATTCATATATTGAATATTAATATATTGAAATATTAATATAATAGAAAATGTTAATACCACTGGTAGTGATTTACTTTTGCTTGTGGCCATGTTCCATCCAATAGAATCAAGTTATATGCCTTTTGTTCGTTAACACCAACTGGATCCAATGTATTCAATGCAACTGCACCAGGTGATGGATATAATAAAATAGTATTCTTATCATTTAGAATGTCAGCCAAACCCTCATGCTTAGGCAATGGAAATTTTTTTCCTCTTAAAGAAAAAATTAAATTTTGTAAAATCTTGAAAGATAATCAACTAAGTGAATTGCACTTTATTTACCTGAAAATTAGGCACTTTCCCAATTCCAATGCCAATGAAAGCATTGGTACTGTACGCAGGCAGCGTTTTGCTTCCGCTGGATGCTGCAAAATTATTATCCTTGATGCTGGATTGAGACGTTGCTTTGGTAGACCTGGACACCAGCACACCTGTACAGGTCTCCTACAAAAACATCCATGTTAAACCAAAAAGTAGTCTTTTTACAACCTTAGATTAAAGAACTACTGGAATTGTTAAAGCATAGATGCCGATCGGAATTTTATTATTTCTTAATTAAATTTTTATCGCCTTTCTAGGAGAAATAATTCCAATCGGAATTTCGAACAGTTCCATAGCAGATCTTTAGATAGAACGGAATCTTTTTCTTTTCTATTTGGCACTTGCTTGCATTGTTGGCACTTGTCTCTCGTTTCAGGCGGATCGGCAGGAATGTTAGCCAGTTCGTTCCACACGTCATCTTCGTTCATGACGGGCCAGTCATGAAAAATCGAAATCCTCCAGCAGTCCCTCAATACAAAATATCGCGGCTAGTCGATCCACGCGATCGGACACCGAGTGTCAAGGTCAGGTTTCGTGATCACCGTACATCAGTACCATAATATTTGCGTCGAAAAGCGAATAAATCGTGTCGAGCGGACTCAAACATAGAGTACAGATACCAGGTGGGAAATTCACAACGAGAAAATAACATCGATACGCATGATACACAGAGATAAATCAAGGGAGAAAGCAAGAAACGCGAGAAAAGAGGAACGGTCAAAGGTTAGATTTCTTTTTTATTTTCTCTCTCTCTCTTTCTTTTTAAGTCGGAAAGTCTGTTGCTGGTCAATAAGATCGTGGTGCTACCTTACCGACGGAGGGACGGTGACAGGTGCGCCGAAGTGCGGCACGTTTCCTCGCATCTGACATAACCGTTGTGTGATGTTCTGAGCGCGCCCCAGCAGCCTCGCCACTCGGTCCAGTGACGCTCCTACGCATCTGATCGCCGTGCGTGTTTATCGCCGCAATTTGCGGCGAAGTGGCGTCGACGTTTCTCGCCTGGGTTCCGCTCCTCCTCCCTGCGATTTTCCTCACGTCGATCCGCGCGACGACAAAATTTACTGAGAGATTCGGCGCAGCAAAAATTCATCCTACTAACGGTATTACGTCGGGGTACCTGCGGTGCGACGAAAACGAGATCGCACGACGGGAATGAGATTCGCCAGCAGCACATTCGAAGATTCTCAGGGGATTTTTTCGAGACGACGACGAGACGTCGCGGCGCGAATTTCCACAGGCGGAGGGGGGGGGGGGGAAATTAATGGCCCGTCTGGGTTTCTGCGTCGCGGAGTCCCGGTGTATCTCCTGTCGATCAGACATTAAGAGACGTGGGAAATTCGGCCGAGGCTTCATCTCAATCCTTGTCCGGGGTCAGACCAGCAACGGGTCAGTGCGTGCCGCGGGGGTTAGCCATTCGCGATCGGGTTATTTAGAGGACGGGGAATTCGGAAGTAGCATTCCTTTCGCGGCGCGCAGGAACGTGATACGAATGCCTCGTGTAATATCGCGCTATTCGATTTTGATCTGATTATCCCGTTAGAACACTGGAAACGTGTCTATCACGTGATTAAATCCCACAGTATTTCTCTTCGATATTTCCAACGAGATCTTGACAGGCGAGAGAGGTCACGTTGTTTACGTCTTTCTTTTCTTCTCTCTCTCTCTCTCTCTCTCTCTCGCGTTCTCTGGCTCTCGCTTTCTAATTTGCGGCTTCAGTAAATTGGCTGCTCTAAATTACAGATGGCAGCGAGTGCACTCGAGGAGAAGATTAATAAGATAAGGCAACAGAATGAAGAAATTAGAAGGCGGCATGAAGTAAGAACTCAATGATTTAATGGATGATTGTTCCATGTTAATTTGAATTGATTGTGTTATGTAGGAAGTGGAGGAGGATAAAAAAAATGCGGCCAAATTGAATGCGTTGGTGCAAATGGTACCATCTACAGATTGGCCGGAGAGGAAAGAGCCACCGGAATTCTCTAATCCACCTCGACCGAGTAACAAATCGAAACCTGCCAAGGAACACCATGAACACCCTCATTCATATCACGCGAGTGGTGAGGGACGAAAAGTTCATACTTTTGCTCAGGTGCACAAAAAAATTACATTATATTTTTATTAAGTTTTCATTAAGTTTTTTTTTTAACTTTTTAATTGTCAATAAATAAATAAATTTTTATGGATACTTTCTTATAGGGGCAAGGACCTCCACCTGATCCTAAATATAACTTTCTTGCTGACGCCGAGAGAGAGGAAAGCAATGTAGAAAATACAAAGGACAATCCTCCAAATAGGGGACATAAATATTCCAGGGGTACATTTAGGAGGAAATCTGGTGGAAAGGATGGAATGCAAAGAGTATTATTTTTTAAATTAAATCTATATATACTTAACCATGTTTCTGTTTTTAAATGATCCACTTCTTAAAAAGGATTATAGAACAAACAGAGGATCACATAGAGATGAGCACCAGCCAGAATATGAGGCTTGGAGAGCTGAGAGAAACCGTATTGATGAAGATCGCATTAGTAGACAGAGAACTGCAGAGGGTAATTGGCGTAGAGAATGGGATAATGACAAAGTGAGAGCTATGTAAAAAGAAATCACGCGTTGCCACACGATTGCATAGACGCGATAGATTATACTAATATAATTGTTACAGGCACATATTGTGGATGAGGTAATGAGATCTGAGGCTAAACTTGGGGATTATGTAAAGAAAGATCATAAAGATTTTGAGAGAAGATACCACGCTAATGGTGAGAATCGATAAACACTTATATAAGTAGGAATATAAATAAAGAATTTCTCATTGTTGTATATGTACATATATGTACACAATTGCTCTCTGCAGGAAATGATTATATAAGCCATAATCGCGGTGGTCATCGTTCCTACCGAGGAAATTCGAGACATTTTCATAATAATTATGAAAATTGTTCCAACAATACTTATCATCAAGATGGACATGGTAAAAATCCTTCCGCTTCAGAAAAGAGAACTGTCGTTGCTACCGACAAGAGCATAAAGGTTACGCTGAATCAAGGAAATGCGACCAAAGGTCCAGTCATGAGTGTCAAAGGTATATTCAAAATGATACGTTTCGTAATATGTGTATGTTATTCAAGTGTAATGAAGATTTAAAATAATTTTTTGAAAATAAATTTTTTACTTTATTTCAGTAAACTCGCCAAGTATTGCTGGTACGGGACGAGTCGGGCCGCGACAAAGGAGTCGTGTAACATACAGCAGTCATTCGGATGTTGAAGTAGCTTCCCCTGAAGTTGAGTCTTTCTCACGTCCAAAGTCGTATGAAGACAAAAACAAAGGTATTTATCATGAAAATCAGCAAAAATCCTCTAGTTCTCGAAAATCGCAACTTCCACCGAAAAAAAGGACTTTAGCAATAAATCTCCTTACCTGCGCAAAAAAGAGATTCGAAGAGAAGATGAGAGCCTACAGAAATATCACGAAGCAGATTCGTCACAAAAAGAACACAAAGAATCACAAAAGTCCTATGAATCTAAACTTCAAAAGCCTGAAGAGAATACTGCAAAATCAAGTGATAAGACTCTGACGATTGCAAATAAAACAGAAAATCCAATTTCTTCTGGAGAATCTGATATGAATAATACAGAAATCAAAAAGGATGATCAAAATGATAATTTGAATTCGTACATAAATGAAAATAATGAAGTTCAAGCAAATGAGGAACATGAGCTTGTTTTGAAAAATTTAGATGTTCCTATGTCTAAAGTCGATACGGAAATTGAAATATGTGAAAAAAGTAAAAAGATTGAAGAAGACACATTGGAGTCATTAAATGTTCAATTGATAGAGAGCACATTTGAGTGCGAAATTACTAAAACAGATGTAACTATATCATCGACAAACGATGATAAAAATGAGATTAAATATATGAAAAACTCGTCATGTAATGCTAATGGAAATATTAAGGAAACTGTAATAAAAAACAAAGATCATAATTCAAAGCAGGCTAACGAAATTTTAAATGATAACTGTGATAATAAGCAAATTAAAGATATAAGTGAGCAAGAAAATGATGTTGAACATGAGACAAAAAGCTCTTTAGAAAATAAAGAAGTAAATAGTGTTATAATTTCATCTTCAGCTGATGTAGATTGCATAGCAGAAAAAAGTAAATTAGAAAACGAAGCCCTAAAGGAAAAAGAAATTTCAGATACCATAGATACTGAAATTACTATTGTAGATGAAAAGATAGATACTGTTGATAAACAGGATGTAAAATGCATTAATGAACTTCAAGAATACACAGCTAATATTGAAAAAGAGAATGGTACTACAAATAGCATTGTAGTTGATAAGATAGAATCTCTTAATGAAGATTTACAAACAGAAGATAAAAAGGCAGCTTCAAATGATACGATCGAAAATGAAAAATGAAAAAGAGAAATACGAAGTAAAATGTATAAAATGTTACAGTGTAACCGTATGTTACTAATAATGTGTGATAGGCGACGAAGCTTTTATAAATTTGTTGAATGTGATATATATTTCGAAAGTTAATTTTTATGGCATATGGATTGAGAATATCAAGTTTTTTGAATAATTCCCAACGGATTCTTATTTTTGGAATAAGCATTCAAGAATGTTAGTGGATGACTGGAAATCTATTGAATGATAATACATCGCAGTTCTTATTTTTTATTTTCAGAATTTTATTATATATATATATATAT